AGATGAAAATTAAGCATTTTTAACAGGATTATTTATGATTCATTGTATGTCAAATTTAGATAAGTTATCTATTGCTGAATAATCAGCTGGAGAAGCTGTTTAATATCTCTAATACTTTATAGATAATTAATGTCCTATTTATTAAGCTTCAATTTAAAATTAAACACCAAATACAGACAATTTATTTGAATAAGAATTATAACATATACAAAATATGGTTACACATTTATCATTATATTCAAAAATATGTTAAGAAAGAGGAAAGTTTAATGAATCTATTGAATAATTGGGAATTGCTGCCACTTTACTTGATAATACAGGACATCTATTTAGAAAAAGTAATGATTTCTTATAATTTTTAGTATTTTCTAAGTAAATTACAATAAAAACAGAATTAAAGGAGGATGATTTAAAAAGACATTTTATGAATATTCTTATTAATGAAGCTATAATATTGAAAAATTTAGCAAAGTCTTGTTTATAATTAGGAAGATTTGAAGATGGAAAATAATTAATTGATGCTGCATTAACTTATTTTGATTATTTGATTGAATAAAAATTATTGAGTCCAAATGATGAAAATTATGTTGCTACATTAATTGAATAATTTAATTATTTATATCAAACAAATGGGAATGTGGAAGATATGAAAAAAATCAAAAATAAATTAGATGATATTGCTAAAAATACAAAAGAAAATGAAAATACATTATATTCTTTGATTAGATATGAACTATTTCTAAATAAATATTTTGATACTGATATTTAGAAATTAAATGATTTAATGTCTAAAATACAATAAGATGTTCCAATGTAATTAGAATTCAATTAATAACGCATTTAAGCTCTACTTGCTAAAGGAGATCATAAAAATGCTTTGGAATAATGCAAAGCATAATTAAATATTCTTAAATCCTATTTTGATTCTTCACATTAATTGTATGGAGAGACTCTTGTTACATTATTAGAATTGGCAATTAATGAACAAGATTACTTATCAGCTAAAGATTATATTGTATAATTATCATCAGAATCATATAACATTACATACATTTCTGATATTGAATAGATTATTAAATTCTAAAGATTAAGAACAGAATTTTTGGAAAGATTTAATTAAAAGGAATCAACTGAATAAGTATAATTCAATATTTATTTTTTAAGTTAAGAAAGATTTTAGATAAGATTGAAAGTATAGCATTTACTAAATTCTCTAATTCATATAAGAAAAGTTCCCTTTTAGCTGAATTTTATAAACTTATTGGTGATACAAATTTATAAAAAGAAAAACTTTAAGAATGTTTAAATGTTCTTTAATAAAATGTTACATTTGCCAAAAGAGATGAACTTATAAAATCAATTAAAGACACTATAAGTAAATTACAATGATTTTAATATGTTCATTATTAAATATTTTTATCAACTCTATAAAATTATTTGATGAATTTATTAAAGAGAATAGGATTATATTTTTGCAAATTAACACAGCATAAGAAATATTAATTTAATTAAAACCATCATTTTAAGCAATTTACACAACCTTCACATCTACACTAATGTGTACATTATTAATTATTTTAAAAGCATTCGCAATATTTTTTTTAACATCCTGATTTTTTGCAATTACATCCTTTAAAGGCTTATTTAAATGCCCTTGGATCTCTTGCTTATATTTATATTTTTGCTTCTTTTCTTTAAGAATTATTGAGAGAATTATTAAAACATCCAACACAATTGCAATTTTCAGAGCATACCTATCCGTTAGCAAAGCAATCACAATACTATTTTAAACATTAAGATTTCTTGCAATTACATGTTCTGATATAAATATTAAATTTACTTAGTGTTTGTAACAATTTTAGGAAAGTTTGGAGGAGGAAGAATAATTTTAATTGGTCTATAGATATTCTTTATTTCTGACTAGATTTATGTTTCTACAGTTTCTTCTTCCATTTCTATTTTGTTAGAAGGACATAAGATCCTAAAAGTATTATAAAATGATACCTGAATGACGAGTCTTTGCTAACTTAAAAGGATCTCATTTAGGTTTAAAATTTGAATTATTTATAATTCGTTAAAAATTTATTCATATAAATCTTTATATTAATCTACTTATAAATATTGGGGATTGATCATTTTTAATAGAGATGCCCTTGTAGCTCAGTTGGTTAGAGCGCGAGTCTCATAATCTCGAGGTCGTGGGATCGACCCCCACCAAAGGCATATTTTTTATTTTTTTAAAAAACAATCTAAATAATTTAAATATATATAATCATTCAATAATAAATATATTGAAATGAGGCTATTCATCTTTATTATTAATAACAGCAATCTAATTTTTGCAAACTTATATCATTTTTGGATTTGTATTATAGTTATTAATAATAATTTTATGATCTCTGTAGACTTCGATTTCTTAATTATTAACCCATAATCTAATTGTAGAATCACTAGCCCCTAATCCCAATAGATAATCAGAACAAATGATATCACAAATACCAAATTAAGATGTATTTAACTTTAGTTTAATCTCTCCATTCATCCAATCCACTACTGAAACTTTATTTGAAGTTCCTCCAAAAATGATACTTCTTTCAGAATACTTTTTTACACATAAAACAGCTCCTTCAGTCTTAATGTCTCTTAAATAAGAAGCAGATACTATTTCTTCTCCTTCAAAATATAACTACCATATAGCTAATGTTCTATCCCATGAACCTGTTACAACAATATCTCTTTTTACAAGTTATAGACATGAAACCATAGCTGTATGTTTTTTTAATGCACAAATAGATTTACCTGAAGTAACATTCCAAATTATAGCCAAATTATCATAACTACCACTTAAAATACTATGATTATCTGATAATTCAATTAAAGATGTGATTCCAGATTAATGTCCTGTTAATTTATTAATCTATTTTCTAGTAGACAAAGACCAAATAATTATTGAAGAATCAAGATTACCTCCTCCTGAAATTAATAACTTTTCTTAAAACATACAAAGAGCTGTAACTTAATCAACATGACCTTCTAAAGAATAACTTTATTGAGGAACTTCTAAATTATTAATTCTTATTGTCTTATCTCTACTACCAGAAGCAATTGTTCTCTAATCTACTTACAATAAACTAGTAACTCCTCTCATTTATGATGTTTCAACAGTCCTATAAAATTTAATACGTGATTAGCTAGATATTCTACTTTATTAACTGGATTAGAATTTCAAGGCTTAAGAATTATTATTTTCAATTCCAGCATTATAAACAGGAGAATTAGGTTAAACAGTTTCAAATAGTTTAGGACTGTCATATTATCTTTATGTTTTTGTTAATTTATGATCAAAAGTTTAATTCTTGACATCACTTAGAACTAGAATAGAATTATGAATTAATAATACTGTTTAAAGATTCATCAGGATTTTAATATTGAGTATTTCTTGAAAGTATTAAATCTTTTAAATTAATTTATGTTTTGAATTCATCCATAAGTACTTCACATTATTATTTAATAGAATTCATAATTTCTATAAAATTTGATTCCTATTAAAATGTAGGATTATCTGGATCAGTCTAAGGTGTTTCTGCCCATTATTTTTCTAATTCTTCAATTAGATCATTTTAAATTTAAAATTCTTAATATGTATCTATAAATGCTAGATTTTTGCCTAAATCTTCAGGTGGTAATAATTTAATTTTCAATTCACTTACATATGTGTTACATTCTTTATTTTATTTAGACAACTCTTATAATGTATTAAACATTTCTTCTTTTGTAGGAAGTGGTACCAAACCATATCTATGTTGTATAGATTAAACTATAAAGTTTAACGAATTTTAATATTAAAGAAATCTTTCATCATAATGTTCATAAAGTTCAGATTTCACTTTCTCTAATAATTAAATTAATAGATTATTTGTATCAGCTATAATGTAATCAACCCAACATTTTCTGTTATTGATCTATGATTCATATCTATCTATAAAATCTTATTTAGTTTGTAATAACTTCAAATGTCCTTCCATAGCTAATGCTTAATCTTTTTTTCTCTTCTCCAACACATTTCTGAACTCTTCATCTAGTCTAGTAGTAAAATTATCAAAATCAATCTAAATTTGAAATTCAAAAATACCATAACATCTCTATGATTTCTAGCATGATCAGCTTCATCAATCATACATTCCCAACATAATGTAGGATCTCTTTTACAAGATGAACTTGCACATATTCTTTCAACATATGAATTAGGATGATACTTACAAGGAATTTTGAGCATATAAAATATAACTATAAAATATTATTGATAAATTATCAACTATTTTAGCATATAAATAATTTTATTTTGCAAATAGCATAAAATATATGTGTGGTTTTAAATCAATCTAATTTACATATACGCCAATCCTTTTCAGAACTATCTGATTCTCTTCTTTCTAAAACATTGTATTTTACAACATCTTTCTTACTTTCTGGATCAATAAAATTAAATTTAACAGTAATTTGATGCCATGTTTATGATGATTATAATGCCATCTTCTTTTATGAAAATAATCTAGCTTAAACTAATTAAGCATCAGTCATTTCTTTATATAATTTAAAAGGCAAAGGTTTATTATCTTTAAGACTTGCTTTTACAATCTAATATTTCATATATTACAAATACATCATATAATGGCACAGACAATAATCTAATTAAATCTACTTTATCCTTTCTATTATAAGCTTCTAAAAATTCAAAATATCTATCTTTTGCAAATAAAGGAAACTAACTTCGTTTAAAATCTAAATAACTTTGATACTTCTATTACCAATAAAACAAGATTCTGTTTAATTTAATGCTAATCTAGTTTTCAATGAGTTCTTTAAATATGGTAATATACCTGAACCTTGAGATTCAAATAAATCAACAATCATAGGAGATGATATTTTAGAAGATATTCTTTCAGCCTCTTTTACTGCTTTCTTCATATTATATTGGATATTTATTAATATCACTAAAATCAATTGGTTAACTTCTTTTTCTCTTCTTCTAAAATTTCCAGATTTCTCTTGACTTCATTAGGTAAATCAATGAGACTTGGATACAATGTTGCAATTGTCTACCATTATGGCAATACAAATGTATCTAAGAATTAAATATATATTCAAAATTACTTAAGAAAAATGTTTAGCCATTAAAGAAGGTAAGTTTATCTTTATATTACAACATTGTTGTTACTTCTAAACCTTTTGCTGCCTCTTTTATAGTCTATTTTAATATATTATATACTTAATCTTAAAACTCTTAAGCTAATAAAAAAGACCATTTCATATATGCATCCCACTCCAAACATGGATTTGAAATATCACAAGCATGAACCAATACATTTAATATAAACTAATTTAAATATTAATAATTACTTTTCTATCATCAAAGTTATCTTTGTTAAATCCTCTATATCTAATTAATGGATCAGTTATATTCTGATTATCACGTAAATCAATAGTTGCATTTACTCTATCTTTGAAACTACTAAAGATATTAAAATGTTATCCCATATCTGTGGCTAAGATAGAACTCACTATTATTCTCTTAATTTCTTGTTATTATATATTAGGCAATTAATTTAAAAAATTTAGTTACTGATTCTTAGCCATAATATTGAATAAAGTTGAAACATGCATAGTTTCAAGAACTGCTTATTCACATATATTTTTATTTATTTTTTTGGATTTCTTAACTTTGTATAAATTATTGACTCCCTCTTTAATATTATTAATTCATTTATTACTATGATTTAGATCATGACTTAAGCTTGCCAATAAAGCTGCAAATATGTCTTACTTAGTAACAAAATATTTAAGATCAGATTTCTCATAAACACAAAATAATAACTAATTTATATATAATAGATACTTAGAATAAAGCAAATGCATGAGTAAAATTATGATAAGAAACGATGTTATAATTTAGATTAATTTATGTCAATAGATTCTCTAAATTATTGTAATTTGCATATTGTTCAACCTAGCATTTAACCCAGCTAAATTACTTCCAAATGATGAAATATCATCATAGATGCTTTCAACATTTCCTTGCTTGTATAATGGTGATGATTAAAATTAACATTTATTAAATCCTCATATTCTTCATATACTATATCATTTTACTTAGAGTTTATATCTTTTTACTAAAATCCAATTTCACATCATAAACTAGAGGAACAAATGTTATATTCATAGTTTTCCATTTTTTTATAAATGCATGATAATCAGTCTAATTTAATTTCAACTCATTTTCCAATCTTCTTCGAAATCTCTTCAAAGCCTTATAAACTTTATTCAATTATTCTTAATTCTCTTTTTTTAATGATTAAACACAATTCTCAAAATGCTTGAATGTATTTTAAAACTCTTTATTTGGCATCTAATAACTTGTTTTTATTTGATTTATGAGTTGTTCAATCTATTGCAAACTCATTTTTAATAATTTTATATTAACATAATACAAATATATTTTATTGTTAATTATATAATTATATTATATTTATAAATATTAATCTAATAATTAAATATTCCTTAAAGAGTAGATAAGCTCATAAATTTATCTATTTAAAATAAATTGTATTTTGAATAAAGATATATCAATCAACTCTTCATTTATAAATAAATTGTATGAGCCATGTTTCTTGCAAGATTTAATTTAATAAAAATAAATAGATAATTATAATTTATTTAAAAAGAATTATAAATTATTAATTTTTTGAAAATAATAAAGATTACTTAATTAATAGAATTAGAGCTTTAATCACATCTATCATCTAAATAATGAAATATTATTAATGGATTATCGTTCTATAGAAAAACTAGAGGAAAAAGAATAGGTTAAAGATGAAGTTGTTTTATTGGATGATAACTATAGATGAGATAAATAGCTGAAAAGTTGTATGTTGTATTGAGAAGTACTATTTTTCTTCAAATAATTTTACTTTAAGATACAAATACTTCATTTATAAATAAAAGGATTAGATGGAGATACATTTTAATAATTTTCATAAACTTTCCTCTTATTATGAAGATTTCCATAATAAGTTCAGATTTGCATACATTTAGATTCTATGAAGGAAGTGGAGCAGAAAATAAGGATGATGCTAAATTTAAATATTATCTTAAATCTGAATTAAAAAAGGATACCTTCTAACTGGAAATTTGCGTAACTATTTCTAAAATACTAAAAAAATAAATTAGGAAGTTGAAATATACTTATATATCTTGTATTAAAATATTTTCTAAAAATAAAATTAATCTATTAAAATAAATTTTATTTCTGTCTTAAATGAAAGAAATCCTAATTATATCAAATTCTATAGAAAATCAATTATATTTATAAAAGGATTCATGAATTTATTATTAGATTTGTAAGAATTCTAATAATCAAATTAAGTAAATAATTTAACATTTAAATATTAAGATGAACAAAAGTTAAATTTAAAAAGCAGATTTGTTTAAGAGATTTATTTCACATAGACAAAAAATTGAGTTTCTTTTATTTTATATACACTTCCTATTTTCCCTACCTCTCATATTTTAGAAATTATTATTTTGCTTTGCTAACTTTATGCTTCTTTTCTTTTATTTCTCCTAATACTCAAATATATTTCTAATTTTAAATTATGTTTAAATTGAAAGTATTGCTAAAGGATAGTCTCGATTTTAATTAATTATATATCAATAGCTTTTATCTGAAGATTTAAATTTGATGAAAAAATAAATATATTATTAGTGATGAATAAAATGAAGATAAAATATTTCTTGTTTGAACAAAGAGATTAAATAAAACAACTTATAAGTAATTTTCTTTGTTTAAATATGATTATTAATAGACTAAACTAAGTTGAACATTACATCAAAACGATTTTAATGATGAAAATATGGCCAGATAGAAAATGTATTAAATATCCAAAAAATATTGAATTAATATATTTAAGTTAATATCTAAAATTTCTAAATTATTTATATATTTTCAACTTCAAAATTAAATTGAATTGTATATTATAAATAAAGGTGTATTTGAATAATAACAAATGATATCGATTAGAACTAAATACAAAAAATTAAAGCCAAATAGTTCAAAAGCATTTCGATATAATACATTCTTTGGTCACCTCTGTAATTCAAATAAAAAAAAGGAGCGAATAGATCTCTTCTAAAATAAATTAATTGACTTACAATTCATCCATAAAAACCAAAATTGTTTTGTTGTATTTTTAAATAATTTAAGAAAGAGAATAAAACCTTCAGAAACTTTAAATTTAGAAAATAAAATTGTAAAAGATTAGAAAATAAATATGTTCGAATTATATGAAACTTTAATTTCAAAGAATAAATATAATATTAAGTAATGTATTTCCTTTAAGAGTTATGAACAGAATTAAGACCTTCTGACCATTAAATATGTTGAATCTTAGCTTTTTTATATTCGCTGCTTAGCATTATTGTATAGCAGATGTTGTAATTGATTATTTTTTTTATATCAAAAAACAAGATACCCAATATCTGATAAACAATAATTTAAAAAATGTTTATATTCAACTTGATTCAATTTATAACAACAAAAGTCAAATGAATCAAATATTGTTTCATTATCTTTAAGATATAATTTATTATTTCAGAAAAACTTTTTTTTTTGTGACGAAATAACATCAATCTAATATCACTTTTTCCCAATAGTATTTGCTTTCATATGATAAATATTAATTGACAGTACTATCAAATAAGATTTCAATCATAAATTTATCATTTAAAAATAAGACAAACTATTTTGGTAGCAATTCAACCTATTGTCTTCTTGCTATTTAAATGAGGAAAACTTCTTCCTAAATAATTTTCTAATTTACTCTTTCATATCTTGATATCCTGAATTTTTCGCAATATTTCCCTATAAAACTGCTTAGATAATCATTATTTCTTATATTTTCTTAATAACATGTAAGAATTGAATTTTTTTTAATTTGGGATGAAAATGTAATTTGTTCTTTATTTCCAAAATAAAAAATCTCTCAAGAACCTATCTTATGCATTCATATTTAGGATATAATTCTTTTATCTGAATCTTATTACAATACACTGTATGATCATAAAAATATCCAGCTATATTAAAATCTTTGGTAGAAATCGAATTAGTAATTATAAGCAAGGCATAATGATAAATAGATTAACTCTAAATTGCTTTCCATTATCTTTTATCAACATAAATCTCTTAGACTTCTTTTTGCATTATATTATAACTAGCATTTTGGACTATTTCTTTTAAATTGTATCTTTATAAATTTTTCTTTCTAATAGATTTATCTTATGGTTCTTCTTTAATTTTAGTTTAATGTGCATATATTATTTTAGAATCCAACTATATTATACATAACAATTTTCACTATTATATCTTACTAATGATACCAACTGATACTTTCCAATCTCTAAAATTTTTGCAATATATAGTAATTACCACATAAAAATTATTAAAAGTTAGTTAATAGAATTACTATTAATACAAATATATTTTTGAAAGTTGTTTACTAAGTATGGGTTCAATTTTTGCTCTATATTCAAGTTCAGGTTCAGGTTCAAGTTCTTCAAATCAAACAAAGGATGGACACGAAGAAATTTAGAAAATAATAAATGTAAAGCGTCGATTGGATATAATTGGGGCATTACAATTATGCTATCATTAGGCTTTATTGATTATTACATCTAAAAGTAAATATATAATTGAATACACAAATGAGAGCTCAATAAATAAATTTGAGATTAATATGCATTAAATTGTTAATTGTGATGATGGAAGTCTAAAATCATTTTCTTTTGAAAAATATGATTGGATTGTAATGTCAGAAATTGAAATAATAAATATCAAGAAAAATTCAACCCTTTCAGTTGAGTATATTTATAAACTAATGACTTTAATCAGCGAACGCAAACGCTACGATTTATATAACTGGAACTGTTAAATTGTAGCAGAAATAACAACTGATACAATAAGGTCTCAAAACAAGTATTGAATAATTATAAATTATCTTTTTGATTCCATAAAAATTAAACATAAATTAATCCTTGGTTTTTATTAGTCTAATCTTCATTTATTAAAATATGATCTAACTATATTCCGATTTGTAGAGTTTAAATCTTTTTCAAATAATATAATTTTGGTGGCTTATACATTCAAAATTTCATTGATAGATGTGTTTAGATGATCTTAATGGTTCTAGATACTTTTTAATAAAGAATCTTTCTTACAAACATATGGAATAAGAGTAAACACAAATTAGTTGCTGAAATTCATATCCCAAATTCATCCTTCGTTTTGAAATAAGTAAATAAATTATTTAAATATCTAGAATTTATTTTAGAACAACTTGTTATAGAACTTTTATTTATAGATTAAAATGAATATGAATTTTTTTATTAATCAGGCCAATCATTCAAAATTATTTAAAGAAGTTCACTCCATTAGAAAATCGATGAAATTTAAAATATACCAACATAATGGTTATGATTATACATTTATCTTTAAAAGTTTCCTTACTGAAAGGTACAATTATATTATTACTATTTATTTATTGATTTATGGCCAAACCCCTTTAGTCAAAACATCCTAAAATAAAATACAAAAAAATATATAATTACTTTTCCAAAAAACTCCGTATTAGATTTATTTTTAAAATATCAATTCTGTGTGAGAAAAAAATTGATTAATAAAAATAATAAATATAAAAATTTTGAATGGGTGGTTCATCAAGCTCTTGTTGTTCATCAAGCTCTAGTGGTAAATAAATACATCTTCCAATTTCTTAAAATAGAGTTGTTTATGTAGGCATAATAAATAGAAAACTAAAATATACTTCTGGAAAAGTAGGGTCTCTATATCATTAAGCAATACTTGCAGTAACTTCTGATTATTAGAAAGATATAATTGATCCTTAATAGATGGAGAAAGATCTGATTGGATCTAAGTTTGAATTTCATATTGTTGAATATATGGATGATAGCTAAGTACATGCTTATAAAGTAGAAATTAGAGAAAAATTTTAATATTGCGATTAAGTACAATCTTTTTATGATGGTGAATATATTTGGGATACAAAATCAATGGATTTTTATATCAGATAATTGCATATCACAATTCAATAAATAAAAGAGAAAATGTAAAAGCTTGCTGATCATGGTGGAAAATACAATTTAAAGAGCCACAATTGTTAACATGTAGCCTGGAAAATTTTAATGTATATTATCAAGTATACTACCTTTTTCTATGCTTAAAAGTATTAGTTCAGTATTTATTTTTATTTATTAAATAGAGAAAGATTATCAAAAATTCGCAGCATTGTATTTTAATAAATTAATCAAGGACTCTACTTAAATATACAGTATCATAAAACTTAGAGAATTAAAATAATTAATTAAATAAAATAAGGATGTTAGTACATTTAAATTGTGAAGTTGTATTTTATCTAAATTCTTTAAAATATAAATTAAAAAATACTATTTAAATAATTATAAAGCAATATGAACTTTTAAAAAAGTACATTTTTGAATTATAAAAAAAAACTTAATTAAATCAAAAACAAAAGTTTCTACTAGATTGAAGATAGCAATTCATCATATTTATAAAATTTATTAATTAACAACACAAATACAGATGTCGATGATCATAATCAATTTAAATTTCAAAAGAGATGATTAATTATTTGGGATACAATATAAAAAAATCTCTATTATAAAGACAACAATTTACTTAAAACAAAATTTTGCCTAAAGTCTAATATTATAATAATGTTGAATTTAATTTACCTTGTATAATTCTGAAATTATAGTGGAAAGAATAATAAAAATACCTAGAATTGAAATACACTAAAAATCAGGTTCTAAAGACATTAATTTATTTAAATATATTTAATGGGTTCGAGTGAGTGTTGGAAGAATATTAGAATTTTGAAACTTTGATTTTTTAATATCAATATTGATGGAGTTCGTTTTCTTTTTTCATTGAAAAATAATTAAATACAAAAAAAACATACCTATTCAAAAAATCAATCCATCCTATATATGAGCATATTTAAGCTGCATCATTCTAGGAAGCAAATTAAGTAGTATATGTGATAAATTCAATTCACTCTCCTTTAATTAAAAAAATATTACATTTTTAGTAAATCAATGAATTAAAATTAAAAGTGTAACAATCAACTAATTTTCAATGTAATAAATCTCAATTATGTAGATCTATATAAAAAATCTCAAATCCTAATTAAAATTCAGGAATTGATTATTAGATTTTTGAAAATTACAATAATTAAATTAAGGAATAAATTCAATATATATAAAATTATAATGAGGATACTTTAATATTTATCAATATAGGTTAGTTTTAGGAATTCATTTAATGAAATAAGTATTTATAGAAGTTATTTATATAAAATTATGGTACTTGATGATTAATTGTAATTAATGTTAGTTCTTATATTCGTTTTTTAATAATTATTAAAATAAAAATGAAATTAATCGTATTGATTGTGCTAGTAGGAGTAGCTCTAGCAAGAGACGAATATTTCTTTGCTTAATTAAGAGATTCTGAATTTGGAAAAACAATTATATAGACATTACAAGTATAATTACTCCAAGAGCATCCTGCTGATACAGTTGTGCATCTTCTTAAACAAATGAAAGATGATCTACTTAATGAATAGAGAGCTGAAGATGAAGATGTTTAAGGGTCATTATAAAGTTGTCAAACAGCATCTGAAGCAGCAGCTGCAGTGATAACAGTTGCTAAAGAAAGAAAAGCAACAGCAGAAGATAGATTGCCTCTTTTATAACAAGAATAAAATGATAAGAAATAACAATTATTTGATAAACAAGGAGAAGAATAAAGAAATTTAGATAGAATTAGTGTATTGCAAGAGGCTCGTAATGTTTAAAGAGTAAATTATATATGTTAATAATTTAATAGGGTGAATATGAATAAAGAAGAGATGAATTAGTAGGATTGATTTCTGCTTTATAAGAAGCTAAATAAATTTTATCATAAGGAATAACATCATTAAAGAAGACTAGTTTTGCTGAATTGAAGAGTCATCATTAAAACTTTTTGAAATATTATCCTCACAAAAAAGGATTCCATACAATGGTTAACATGTTATTAGAAGTATTATAAGATGAAGGTACTTAAGAAAGTGCAGCACAAAAAGTAGTCAAAATTATTGATACTCTTGTTGATAGCATATTCCAAGTTTAAAAAGAAGAAATGAAAGCAGAAGATGGAAGAGAATTAGACTTTTAAACATAAAAAGAAAGATTATTATTAGCTAATAGAAGATTAGAAGGAAGTATTGCAGATTTGAATGCTCGTTATGAAATTTTGGGATAAAAGATCTTAGAAGTTAGAAATGATATTGCCACATAAGATGCTGTAATAAATATGATATATAAATAGGTTATTTTCAATAAATAAACTGAAAAAGGTGATTGGGATCAAACTTGTAATGATACTGAGAAAGCTCATAGATAATAAACTGATTCAAGGTAATAAAATCAATTAAATTTTTAGAAATGCTTAACTTGAGATAATTGTTGAATGCATAGATATCTTTGAAACAAGATTTGATATGGAAACTAAAAGTTATATTCAACGCATAAGATTCTGAAAAATATTAATACCAATAAATAAAAACGGATTTTAATATATTTATAAATAAATGAAAAATACGATTTTATTGTCTCTCCTAGTTTTAGGATGTTTAACAATGGACTTTGATCATTAGATTGAAGAATTATAAAGCTCTAATTTTGGATAAACAATCCTTCAAACTATTATGATGGAGCTATAAACTGAAGACCCAGTTGTGTCCAATCTTATTAATATGGTATAAGGAATTGAAACAACTCTTGAAAATGAATAATAAAGAGATGATGATCGCATAGTTAGGATAAGATAGAATTGTGACATTGATATCACAACACTCAAAAATTAAATTAATCAAAATACTATTGCATCACTTGGTCTCAAGAGTTAACTTGATTCATTGAATCCATAAAAAGTATAAGCTGTAGCAAGCTTGGAACGTAAAAACAATGAAATTACTGATTTAAAGGCTGAGTTGCAATATTAATCTCATAAGAGGGAAACTGAGACTGCAGCCTACGAAACTATTTTAGATAATTTAGAATAAGCCTTATTTGGAGTTAATTAAGTTAAGGGATACTTCAATAGTTACTTAGATATTCTTGTGAAAAATAGAAAAAGATTTGAAAAACCTTCATTTTTAGAAGAATCCTATAGTTTTAAATATGAACAATCAGAACAAGATGATTCAGAATCTAGATCATTCACATCATTAACATAAGTAGCTTAAAAAGTTAATAAAATAAAACATCATGTATAAAATAATTATTAATAATTTAGATTCAATTAGAAGGATATGCCTCTATGCTTGAAATAATGAGTGAAATGGCTTCTAAAGCTTCTGATGATCCTTCATAAGCTGAAGTTTTAACAAGAAAAGTTCTTTCAATATTGAAATAAATTGAAAACTACATTTAATCTGAAAGAATCAGAGAAGATTAAGCAGAAGCTCTTAGATCAAGTAATTTTGACCTATTAAAGACTCTTTTATCTGATCAACTTGTTTAGGCTAATCAGGATAAGACATATATGGAAGGTTTTATAAATTATTTAATTTTAGGTCTTGTTGCCTCCTTATCTACTAGAATCACATAAGAAACAAATGAGAAATTTGAAGTTGATTAAAAAGTAGCAATAAAAACAAAAGAATTAGAAAATAGATAAACCGATTGTAGACTCAAAAACAATGAATATGAAACAGATACATAAAATAGGTATTTATATTTAAATAAATTAGAATCAAATAGAAAAGAGTAGTTGTTGTAGCCGTTGATTTAATTTCATCCAAATTAGGCTAACTAAAGCGTAAATTGCTTGAAAATTGAAATATTATAAAATAGTGACATAATTAATTAAAATAAACTTTTCATACTATGTTATCTCAATATTTTCAATCAGTTGAAGCAACTAAATTGGAAAACCGAATTACTAAAACTGAATACAAAAAAGGATAGATTATAAATATTATTTTAGCTTGGAAATATATTGATGTCAACCATAATTATTAAAAGGTAATTTAGTTTAATGCAATTTAACAAACTTATTTTTGAAGGCATTAAGAATTTAAACGTAATTCTGATTATATAATTGAAGATTTGAATTTGAGATATATTATGCTAGGAGATGATATCACAATAAGAGGGGATGAAAAAGCCTACTATTTCATTGTAATTAATTTGCTTAATTCCAGTTTTATTTTGCAAATATTTATTTGCATTCATATCCTTCAATGGTTGGCGATTAAATATATAATTTTACTTGAAATATAAACTGAAAATTATAGTTTTCTCTTTATATAAGTTTGACTTTGTAAAATTAAAATGAATGAGAAATTTAAAGACTTCCTCTTTTGATTTGGATTTATAATGTGTATTTTTATATAATTAGTTTGATAAAGCCATTTTCTTTAGCTAAAAATGATTTTATATTGTAACTTTACTTTTATTCCAAAATGTTTTGGATTTCTTAAGTTTTCTAAATAATTCTTTGAAAAATTTAGAATGATTAATTAAATTAAAATATATTCCAAGTCTTTCCATAAAATTTAGAATTGTGTCATAGTTTTGATGTCTATTGATGTTATATTTCATGAATTTGGTGACATCTTTGAATACATTCTATTAATTACAATTAAAGTTTGAAATCATATTACTCTTATATCTAATTTATTTATGTGAATTTAATTAAGATACAGTTAAAGTATAAAATGTAATGGTTTTATCTCAAAAATAATATTTATTTATAATTTAATGAGTAATGCTTTCAAATCAGCTGCCAATAATCTAACAAAAGGTGATCTTGGATAAACAGGATAAAGTTTTGCAGGTTCATAAAATCCTGCATCACTCAAAGGAAAATTAATGAGCTTAGAAGTATGAAAGTCATTTATAAAAGGAAACAATTAAAGGCATTTAAGACGAAATGAATTTCCATAAAAAAGAGGTCTAAATATTGAAATCTGAAAAAGACACTCTTGAATCAGTCTTAAGTATGAAAACATAAGATGTGAAAAAAACACTCACAAATGAATTAATGAGGATTGAAGAAGAAATGAAAAGGTATTTTACTTAATTTTCATTTTAGACATTTTGCTCATTAAAAGGCTGAAAATTCTAGACTTTAATAACAAATAACAGCACTAAAAGGTGAAAAAACTGCATTATAACAATAATTGCTTGGATTGTAGAGAAGAATAGCAGAACTTGAATTACAAGTTGGTTAAGAATAAGCATGATAATTATCATATTCATATATATAAATGGTCATATATATTTGTAGTTTTCACATATTCAACTTTTTATTAGCTTGAAATATCTATAATTAAGTTAACAACTAAATTTGGAATATCTATATGAAAAAAGTATCTAACCATATCCTCAATATTATTTTGTTTAATAATAATTGTTGGTGCAAAAGAGAAAAATTTACTTATATAAAAAGATTTTTTCCAATAACTTTCTTGTTAAAAGTTATTAACATAAAGGGTATTTTATTACTCATAGAATCTTTTGAATTGACTTCCACAAAGCTGATAATGATTTTCTTTTTTCAATTTTATGCTTAATCAAATAAATCTATTTCAATAAATTCAAAATCTGCCCATTTAATTATAAATTGTTATTTTATTATAATATCTGTCACTAATTTTATTAAATTATCTATATATAAAATTAATTGGTATATTATAAAATAAATAACTAATCAATATTAAGATTGTTGAGATTTTTCCATATGCTTAATAGTTGCATTAAAGTTCTTAATTGAATTACATATTCCAACCCTATTGCTATTATCATCGTTTACAATCGATCTATCTATCCCTTCAGTTTATAGTTTGACCTTCCTATTAGTATCTCTAAATAATTGGGGAGCACAATTCTTATGTATACTTTACTATAATTATTATTAATTTGGCTGAGTATATTAATTTGTCTAAAAATACTATGCTTATTCTTTATACTATTTTAATTCTTTTTAACATTGACTTAGATATTAATAACAATTACATTAATTTTTATTCTAATTTTAATTTGTCTGTAATTTAAATTTCTAATTATTACTAAAATATTTCTTTATCCTTCTACTATTCCTATTCTATTAATAACATTATTTCTTTATCATTTTATTCACTCATATAAAAATCAAGATCTTCTTTAAGTTATGAAATTTCTTATTCATATTATTATTTTTATTCAATCATCAATTTTTAGAATTAATTTTAAAGATTTTCCATTTCAATTTAATGTTATGCTTTTAATTCCCTTATTTAAAGCATGCATTCTTTCTTTAATGACAACATTTATTATTTGCATTAACAAGATTGTTATTTATTTTTAAATAAATTTTCTTTTTCATTATCAGAAATAAATGATGATTAATCTTCTGATTCCCTTGTTTAATCTAATTCTCTTTTATTTTACTTTTGAAACATTTTAATCGATTGCCATATTTCTTCTTTTTTCAACATTGTCTGTTATTTTTAATTTAATTAATTATGCAAACATAAAAAATTTTCATTAAACAAGCTATTTGATATATCCTTGTTCTCCACTTATCATTTCAAATAAGTACTTATTGATATTTCCTTCATTAATCTATTTTCCCATGATTTCAAATTATGTGTAATTATCTATTTTAAGTACACCCTCTTTATCTTTGTTATATTCAGAAATAGCCTAAAAATAAAATTTATTAGTACATTCTTAATAGTTATTTATTTTTTATTAAAAAGGAAAGATTAAGTAGTGTTATTAACAATAAAATGTACAAATATCATATCCTCTAATTTAATATTATTAAATACATTCATCCACTGGTTTAATAGATATATGTTTCACTTCAGCAAGCAACATATCATACCCTAATAAATCATTTTATGAATTGAATGGACATAGATTTTATGCAATCTCATTTTTTAGTATAATACTCATTAAATCTCCTACAGTTTTAAAACCAAAACCAGTTTTCTATTTAGCAACCTTACCATTAATTTCATATGAAAATTCAACACCATATCTATCTCCTTTGATTTGAACAGCCCTCTATTAAGCAATTACAATCTACTTTTCCATTCTGAAAATTTATATTGTATAAATGCAATTTTATATATTAATTAAGTATAAAAGATATTTATATATATAATTTCTCAAGCAATATTCAAAGGAAGAGCTTTTACTTTATATCCTGATCCCTCTTTTACTTTACTTGTTTAAGATACTCTTTATTTATTTTAATTTTAATCTTAATAGACATAATAGATTCCTCCTATGATCATGGTTACAAATAAACCAATGAATAATGATTTACCTTTTTTTAAATCTTCAACTTTTTACTCTATAGTTCTCCTTATAAATTAAAAATTATAATTACTCCTAAAAATCTGATTTTTTTTCCCAATAAGATGTGGTTTATGTAGGAACATGTAGAACATACTCTGACTTTTATTTTTTAATTTCATAATGCTTTTTGTATAGATTGTAAGACATGTTCCAAGGACTGTCCTCATCTACCTTGTGTTTAAAGTAGTCAGGATTTCTGAAATACTATTTTTCAAAGTAATCTGAATATTCGGCTATAATAGTAAGATTTTTGTTTCAAACCTTCATTTTATTTTATATGTTCTCTATTCACTCTTGCCCATCTTTAGTATACATCTTCTTACTCTCCAAAAGTAGGATTCCCTTAATACGATTGTCCAATTATCCCTTAAGATGATAATAATAATAAATACCATTTTCTTAATCATAATATTTCCTTTTTTCTGGATTGGACAATGTTGAATAAGCTGATTAGATTTCTCTGAATTTCTCTGGATCAATTGAAGTTTCTGGATTTGAATCTGGATGATATTTTTTAGCCAATTCAAAGAAGGATGCTTTAATATCTTCCTAAGAAGCATCAGTTGAAACATTCAATATTTTATAAAGACACTTGGTTTATGATGAGAATCTGTAGAGACTTTTAATATAAATTTTAATCATAATTTAAAATACTATCCTTAATTCCAAATTCCCTTTACTATTTATTTACTTATTATGCATTCATATGTCAACTATCCATGTAATTATCCATTTGCAAATTCTCCAAAAACACAAGAACCATTAATTAATTCCAAAATACCTTCCCCATGAATTTTATCATCTTCAAATGTACCATTATAAACCTTCCAGTATTGTTTATCAGATATCTAACATGCTGGTATAATTTTATCATAAGTTCTTCTTGTGTAATATTCAACTCCATTTCCACTCTTTTTTCCAAGTTTCCATTCACCCTCATATAGTAAAAGCCCTTCTCTACTTAATGTTCCATTACCATGCATTGTACCTTTGAACCATTCTCCATTATACATTGTTCCATCTTCCAAATAAGTAGTTATAATTTTTTTTGCCAATTAACAAGATTACTCTTGAACTGCTTTATTCCATAATTATTCAATCTCTGATCCTAGATCACTTCTTGGAGAAGGAATTATCACTTTATAAATATCTTCTTATTTTTATGGAGTCATTTCATGTGAGATCTCAGGAATTTGAATTGGAACTATTTCTGATTCAGCATCAGATTAATCTTCTTATTTAAATTTGATTAAGCTTCTTGGTTCATTGTTTTCTTTTTCCCCAAATATTCTTGGTTTCCTTCTATTTGGCTATTCGATATTTGAATTGTTACTGTTAGACGAAACAATATTACCCATTTAATTAATTTATGTTAAAGTCTAAAGAAAGTAAAGAAGCTGAGATTTATGAATGTTTAAGTAGAGATGGTACATCTAATCTTAAATACTCAAGATTCTTTCACTTTTAATGACATGGAAAATTTGGGTCCATGGTATAAATATGGAGGTAGCATACATTAAGAACTTTAAAGAATATCCTCATTGAAATTAGGCAAATCCGTCTCAGAACATCAAACAGACAAGATAATAAGTTCCAATAGATAAATAATTCAAATGCAATCTGGGAGAAGGTTTTCATAAGAAATCATTAAACAAACATAATTTCCTCTTGATGAAAAAATCATGAAATCTGCATCAATCCACTAAGAATCCAAAAGCAGAACATAATTATTTAAATAGCTTAGATCACCTAAACCGAAAGATAATTCTTTGATCACTACAAAACAAGAAGAAACTCAAACTAATAATATTAAATAGGAAAAAACAAATGTTGGCTTTTTTGTCCAATGTTATCCTAACAGAAACAGATCTAAATTGTCTAATTTTTAAACTTCCAAAGAGTACTTTGAAGTAAAATAATATTTATTATTTAAGAGAAAATAGCATTGAAAATGATGTATGGTCTTAATAGAGTTTAAAATGATGAAACAACATAAAATACAAATTAAAATCAATAATTTATTATATAATAAGAACAAAAAGAAAGAAATGTATAATCTAGAATAGCTCCTAAGACAGTAGGCAGAAACTATTTTTATAAAAAAGAATTAAAATTTCATAATACTAATACATCTTAAACAAATCTAAATAAAACTATTAATAACTCTATCAATTCCTTATTAAATCACCCATAAAATATTGCAAAATCAAGAATTCCATTTCATAAAATTATTAATAAAAAAACTGTTATTTCTTTTGCATCCCAAAATCAACTATTAGAGAAGTAGTATTAACAATCATAACTTTAACATAACAAAATTTAAAGAATGATTAGTAGTTGATTCATTATTGTATTCTAATTTTTTTGGAAATTATATGCAGATTCCAATTTATAATTTATTTATATATCAAAATGATCTGAAATTCTTATCTATTTTTATGCATGCATCCTCTAATAATTTTAATAATGCTTCAGTAGTTGCTTCTCTTTCCCTTCTTTCAAAATTGATATCTTATTGTAATTTGCCATGTACATCTTCAATCATTCTGAATATTTTTCCTTAAGTCTCCTCTCTTACTTTCTTTTCAACAAGCAATTAATCTGAGAATTTGTTAATTTCACTATCAATTTATTCAGATAATGATTCTGCTGATTCTTCTCTATTTTCATATGCATATTAAATACCTTGATCTTCTTTCTTAATCTAATTAATTTTTAACAACCTAAATTTATTAAAGAACTTCTGAAATTTTAGCCTGGCTTCTATCTTCATATTGATGTGTATTTCTAGTTATTGTTAAAGTTATCTATGCAAAACGTTCATCAATTTGTTTTTATAACTTGGTTTCTCCTTGTCCTCTTATATTTCTTTCTTATTCAAAAGATAGTGCAATGTTATCTGATAATGTTCTAAAATCTTTCTCCTTCTTGTCATCAAATGCCTAAAGAATATGGTTTCAATCATATACTTCTCTCTCTGATTTTTGATTATGTGCTTAATCTTATAGTTTCAAGACTGAATCCTTAATGACTTTGAATCTTTATTCATCTTTAGGTTTTTCGGATGCAAGTACGTCTTCTATAATTTTAATTCTTTCTTCCAATACTTCTCTTTTTTCTAGTTTATCTTTATCAATTCCATTTTGAATATGATTCCATTTATCTGAGAGTAATTTAATTCTCTATCTAGATGGGGAATCGAGATCTTAACTCAAATAGTTAATGGTTGATCTTTAAGGACTTGATAGTTAGGATTTATTAAGTTTGGATGTCGTTAATTTTGATGTCGAAAGAAGCATATGATATTTTTAATTAATTTTATTTACGATTTATTAAGTATTGTATTACCCCTATAAAATGTTAATAATATATAATAATTAAATGAATCAAAGCTAAACGATTTCAACTCTAAACACATCCATTCAAAAAGCAAAATCAGATTTTCAATAAATTACAACTCAAAATAGGTATTCTTATTCTTCAACTAGATCTCTCATTTCCTAAATGAAAATTGACAATTCTGAATACACAGATTAATTGATCAATTAAAAATAAAAAAATACAGTTGTTGATACTCAAATAGCTTTAAGTGTAATTAAGGCTTAGGAAGAATGTGCATTGATAGCTTAAAAAATAGAGATAGAAACTAAGAAAAAAGTATAATATCCCTTGATTTTTTAGTAAGACTTAGAGAATTTAGTAAATGCAATGAAAGTAAGTGCAAAAGACATCTCAAAAATAGAAAATACAAATTCTGGTAGCGAGTTGACTTAAGTGTAGAAAGTAAAATTAATATTTAAATTGATAGGCAGTTCGAGATGCAGAATTGAAACTGTAATAGATTCATATAAAACACAATGAGTAATTAGCAGAAGTTGAAGCAGAAAAAGAATAATTGAATCTTAGCAGAAGGGAGAGAGTCATTTATTCAACAGTATTTAAAGGAATAGAAAAAGATGCTATTTTTAAACAAAGAGAATATTAAAATTGTATAAGATAAAACGAATTGCTAAAAGAGGAGGTAACTCAAAAAAATAATATATAGCAAAAATTTCTTTAAGACTAACTCAAGTTAATTAAGGAATTAGCTGATAAAGAACAAAATAAATTCCAGCAAGAATACGAGGCATTATTTAAACCATAGAAGGATGATTAATAAGAATAATAAAGCATGGCATCTGATTAAAAATCTTAAGTTCAAGGACCCTACCTAACAGAATAAGGCGATTAGTCAAAACCAATATTAAAAGAAAGAAGTGAATCATAATAAGAATAGAAGGATGTTGCTTAATAAGTTCTAGAATATGAGGCTTAATTTAATAAACTTTATTTGGAAACAGGATTCAACAATGTTGATGCAATACTGAAATAATATTATAATTAAGAAATCTGGATTGATGAAATCTATAAAGAAATCAATGAGATAAATTAAGAAGTAATAATATTATTTTATTTATAGATTGAACAAACTGAATAAAAGAACGAGAAAATCTAATAATATTTACAAAAGTTTAAATAAATGGCAAAAGCTCCTATCAAAGAATAGGTAAATTTAGAAGATTCTAAGATCGAAAGAATATCGAGAGGAATTGATTAAAATAAAAAGCAAATTGCTTAAATTTAATAATAATATATGAGGATTCAAGAATAAATAGGTGTTGAAATTATTAATGAAGATGATGATGAGACAACGCTTTTACCAAAAATAGAATAATTAGAAAAAATAATAGACAATATTTTATTAGTTTCAAATTAGTATGTTCCTAAATAGGATCAAAAGAAACAAAAGAAAGGAACAGTTAAGTTTGATGATGATAAGAGTGAAATATCTGGTACTAAGTAACATACAGAATTAAAATCATAATCTGATCATTAATTTGATTTAGACATTATATTAACAGAAGGTAAATACTATTTATTACATTTTAGTTGAGAAAAGAAAAACTCTAGCAGAATCAAGACATACTAAAGAAGAATTGTAAAAAGAAAGTACTGATTAGATGGTGTTATCTTAAAATAAAAAATAAAATTCCAAAAGATCAAAGTATTAACAATAGCAATATTGAAATATTATTTTGATATGTATATTTCTAAAAAATCATTTCTCCTCTTTCACAACACACTAACCTAATTTCTAAAATGATTGCTAAGTTTATTTTTTCTATTACTTAACAGATAGATGTATATGATGGTCGTTTATTGGGATTAGATAATGATGCTGCTTATTTTATGCAAATGATCAATTCTTGGTATGGTTGTAAGCAATTTTTTTTCTCAATTAATGTTTCCATATTAATTATAATTAATATTTATTTTATACACATTTTAAATTCAATAGACAGAAATATGTGCATCAAATTATAGAAAGCTATAAATGGAATACTTATTTATATTCCTTCATTTTTTTGTTCTGACTAACTAGAGACAATATATAAAACTTTATAATAATGATTATAAAAAGGTTTAACCTCAAGGTTTTGAAAATTTATGCTTTTTGAAATGCTTTCTTTCTAGTTTAACTTGAAGAACGAGAGATTTTTATGAAGCGAGAATAATTATTACATTTATAGTAGGTGTAAATATTATTAACTATTATAGATATTATAATAACTGAATTATTAACTCCCCTGTGGGAATCTGTTTTAAATAGTTTTTTTATTAACGATCTTGTGTAGGTTTAATAATTAAATTTTACCATTGCGGTAATCTTTATTGGCCTCTTCTTAAGAATATTTTTGAAGATTGAGTCAATGATTTTTAATATTGAAACTCTTGTCATAAATTGAAATACCTAATATCTAACTCCAATTATTAAATAAAGTATTATTTGATGATATCCTTAATAAGAGGGATGTCATTTATGTTTATTAGCTACTTACTATTATTTTTAGGATTTATAATAACCAGAAATTAGAAAATGAAAATTATTTTTCTTTGACAGATATTTTCAACCCAGCAGAGCGTTGGTATTAGCTGAAAGTAAAATAATGATAATGAAGGATTTGAAGATTTTTCCTTAATTGATTTGGCTACTTTTAGCCTTCAATTCAGTTTTTTTTTCTTGTTTAATTGTGAAATTTGTGAATTTATAGATATATATTATGATATTGGTTTTATTAGGCTGTTTATAATTCATCATGGTCCTCCAGCTTAAAATTTATTATTGAAGATACTTAATCACTTTTTCTGTGATCAGAGTTTTGTGAAGTAATATTCTTTTTCCTAAAAGTAAATGTTTCTTTATAAAACGATATTTATTGAAAAACAATTACTAAATCAAGTCCTTCAAAAAATCTGTAAGTAAATTAAATCACAATTTAAACTAAAAAATTCAAAATAGTAAAGAAAAATCCTTTGTTATTATATTATTGATCCTAAACAATACTAAACTCCTCATATATGTAGAATATTTTAGCAATTGTTTATTGTTATTTTTTTTCATCATAGATTAATTCTCTATTTTATTAAATTAATTTATGAGGTATTTGCTTTAATTTTAGCTCTTTAGATCTTAGTTGAAGATGCATACTTCATGTAAAATTTTTATTAATTTCTAGGCATTTTTGATAATAAATTAGCTTATATGAAATTTATAAAATTTGATTCTGCTAGAAATGATGAAAATAATATTAATGATTGGCAAAGTATCAAGAAATACATGATGAGATAAAAAATTATTTTTATCACAAAGATATGAAATTATTTTAATTAGTTTACTAATCCCTTAAAGAAATTAAATTAGAGTTAATTTAATCAACTTAATAAGAATATGTATTTTCAAATATTAACTTCCTTTAAAGGTGTAACAATAAGTTGACTGAATTAACTGACTTAACTTTATTTAGTATTTAAAATATTCTCCTTATATAAGTTTACTTTAATAACCTCAAAACTTTTAGATTAAAAACATAAATAATTGCTTTAATTACTTTTGCATTTCCTCTTTGCTTAAATGCATCAACCTCAGCTTGAACTATTATTAAATCTCCTTAAGTTTTATGATAATCTTTATTTAAAACTATAATCTCTTTTTCCAAGTTTCAACTTCATTTTTAATAATAAGTTATTTTTTCTTCAAATAAACTATTTCATTCTATTGGTTAGACTCAATTTCTCTAATTCTTATTCATTTATTAATTATTTTTTCTTAGCTAATTCCTAAAGTAACTTATCTAGTTTAAATTTAAGTTCTGAATCTTTGTTAATCTAAAAATTTAGTCTATTCTTGGATTAAATCATTCTTTTCATTAATTTAAAAAAACATTCTTTGAATTTCTGATGATAAAAATGATACTTTCTCTTCGTATTTATATATAATAATCTTAATTTAATAGTCCATAATTAAATATTGTTTTAATCAAGTTATTCTATCTAAACCGACATCTTCCTTGTTAATCTCTCAGAGTCGAATTAATAAATAATTTCTTTTTAAAATAAAATGAGAAAATCCGATACAATAATAAATAAAATAAAAAAATTAGTTATTCAAATTTAAATTTTAAATTCCTTAGAGATTAGTACAAATGTGAGTACTTTTATTTGATTGATTAATGGTACAGTCGAAGATAATTTAAAACTTAATTATTAAAGGTGTCTAATAAATTATCCTTATGTTGAATTTATTTTTTATTTTATTCTGCTCACTGCTTCATTTTTGATTACTTACTATATAAATTCTGTAACAAGATTTAAAAAGTTGCCATTTTTTCTGTGCCACTTTGCCACATATATTTTATTGATTATGCTCTCTCTTTCTGAAAATTCTCCTAAAACACTGTACAAACAAAAACCCATATGACATTTATGAAATTTATTTTAAACTTGATAAATTGTAATGACTTCGACATTTCAACATATAGATCTTATTCATCAAACAATTTGATTGAAACCTAACCTATTGAACGAGAATTTTGCTTAAACTTTTGTTCTTCTGTCAACTCTCCTATTTGACGTTTAAGATTTTCAATAATTGCAAAGCCTCTGCTATTGTAACTATCTAGAAAATGAGATGACTGCTTGATATGAGATTCCGAAAGTAGTTGAATATTTCTTTCACCTGCCCAACTTTAAATAGATCCTGTAGCTTTCCACCAATCTAGAGTATGTTGTTTATTCTTTTAACTCATATTCATATCCTCTTCCGCTTATTTAACTGAATTTATGAAATGAGTCAAATAGATAATACACATCAGTTTCTTAGTTGATCATATCTATAAATGCAGGGATGATTATAGCTGCAATATCTTTCCCAATCTATGCAATTTGAAATTTTCTAGGAATTTATTTAGGCTATGAGGAGTACTATAATTGAAGTGGCTATGATAAATTGACTTCCAATTTATTCTTACGTACAGAATCATACCTTTGTTATTACATTATTAAAATAAATTATTAAATTCATTTTTTCTTAATTAATTGAGTTTCTTTCATCTATTTATACAAAAGTAATATATCAAAATTAAAAAAATTAAAAACTTTCAGAAATTATGTATTTTTGGTGTTTCAATACTATTTACTAAACAAAACTAGATTAATTACGATTCCTCATTTAAAATTTCATAGAAAACTGTTCAGATAATATTTATTTAGTCTTCTCTGTCGCATTTGAGGAGAACATAATGAATCTATTCACATTTATTACATCATGGCTTAGTATTTTTAATAGTGGACTTGGAAATTTTTTTGAATTTTAGCTATAATTTTTATGAATTCTTTATAATTAGAGAATTATGGACTTACCGAAAATGTTGTAGAACTATGTAACCAGATTTCTTCGGGCATTTGGAGTGAAGAATCTGATAGAAATATTTCAACAATTGAATGAATAAGTTTAAAAAAAGACTTGTAAATAACAATAAAAACTAAATAGAATGGCGATTTGAAATAAACTCTTAAAAAAACTAGAATTAAAAGTAAAAATTAGAGTAAATATAAGATGATAATGAAAAGCCCTTTATTAATTTGAAAACCTATTATGATTAGCTTGATTATTATTACGAATTTTCCTTACAAGATTGAACTTAAGAAAAATTATTTGGCTAAACGATGTAAAATGTAAAATTTAGTGGATATCAATTTTTATAAACTATTATGTTATTTTGATTCAAAATTTTATCTTTTAATATTTATAATCTCGATAAGTTTCTTCATCTTCAAGATTTGAAATGATATAATTTGATTAAATAATATAAAAATATAAAGAATTTAACTCTATAAGTTTTATATTGCATTCTTCTTCTTTTAATTTATAGTCTCATTAATTTAAAAATGAGATTAATTAAAAGTTAAAAACTTTCAATATGCCCTTTTTACAGTCATAAGTGTGTTTCTACATCTCCCATCAAAAAAAAAATGATATGATCGATTATGACTTCTAACATTTTATTGATGTGGCAATTATGAAAGCATATTATCAATGGCATTTGAAAGCATATTTAGATATTTGATAAATTACAATAAACTGATCGCAAAAAGTCCAAGCTAGGAACCACAGTAATAGTTAATTAGTTAATTAGCTATATTTTTTTTATTAGACAGTTACAATAAATTTTTATAATGACGAAGCATTAATTTATTTAGGGGGGTCCTGAATATTTCTAAGACATATTATATCATAGCGTTGGATTTATTATTAATTAAATTGTTTATAAACATGCTAAACCAATTCAACAAATAAAAATTCTTTCTAAGAGGAGGGGGATGTGGGATGTCAATTTCTAATGTTGGTTAATAATCAGAAAAAAATGACATTCATGCTGATGCTTATGATTTCTTCTCATAATTCAATCACTATATATAGATTATAGAATCTAAGGCTTCTGTTGCAGCTAATTAATAGGAATCATCAGAAATAATGATAGCAATACGATGGTTTATTATTCAAGAGGAAAACATCTACAAAGTCAATAAGAACGAATAAAGTGTTAAAAAGTCATACGACTTAGTATTGGATGGAATTAGACGTTTATTGATAAGCTGTTAGACTTACATCAGATCAGATTCCTTTAAATGTTTGTACATATTATAGATTACAACATCCCTATCTAAAGTAATATTCAGCTTCCATTTAATGAATGATGAGAGATTTATGAAATGTGAAACCTAAAATTCTTTTCTGGAAATTTGTGATGAGTTATAATAATAAATGGAAATTGAAAAGATTGATTTAATTTAAAATCAAATTGAACTATTTCTTTTCTTAACCAAAACTTCTTTTGAGATTGCTCCAAATAATAGTAAAGAAAAGGAAGAAATATTAAAAGGATCCTTAAAAGGCATAATAAGTTCTATAATCAAAATGAGCCCAGATACTGAGCTACTTGAATCATTATTTAAGGGAGCCTGCCTACTTTACAAAATGCAAGATATTTCTAAAAAGCGAAAATAATATGAAGTTTTTTATCAAATCGATATGTTGTTATGGGAGGTAATAAATTATTTTAAAAACAAAAAATATAAAAGTCTATAAGAAATAATTTTACAAATTGAAGCAATGTATGAAACTCTAGTTAAATTTTCAAAAAATTGGAGGGAGCATTATATATGGATCTAAATGATTGGTAAAATAATAATCTATAATCCACTACTAACAAAAAAAAAATTAGGTCAGCAGAATAGCTCTTTAAATTTTGGGGAAAAGTCAATTAGTTAGATTTGGAAGGATTATCATAATCGAGGATTACTAATATAAATAAATCGTAGTAATGATTTAGCTGTTATCTAACTTAATTAACTTTAAAATAATAAAATAATGTAACTTGATAGAATAATGTTAGAAGACAGTTTCAAAGGATGGGAAGACTTTCTCATACTTAAGCAAATTTTAATGAATGAATAAATTGAAAATACACCATATACATTCAGTTCATATCTAAAACATAAATTAGATTTATTTAGAGAGGATTCCTAAAACTAAGTAAAAATTTTGACTATCGAGAAAATGTAAAAGCTTTTAAATTTTGTTGTTTCAAATAAATTAATAAACTTAATAAAAAAAAATGATGAGAAACTGGGAGAAGTAATTAAAATATAGAAGTAATTGATGGAAGATGAGTAAGTTAATACAAGGCTATTATAAAGCACTGTTCATTCTTAAATCAAAAGGGTAATTTGCTATTTAGAAGAATATTTACAAAATACACAATGTATTCTAAAAATTGTTAAACTTAATTAGAATAACAATTACTTTCAGGCTGAATAAATCAAATAGGAAAAGATAAATGAATTGAATAATTTATAATAACTTAAATATTTGATGAGATTATTAGAATAAATATTATTATAAGCAATTTAGGAAATTAAAGATAAAAAACGAAATCCATTCTGCATTTAAAATTGCGAAACCAATGAAAGTAAACTGCTTTAGCAATAGAAAGAGTTTATTTTGTTTGCATTCCAAAATCTAAATCTGAAAGATAAACAATTTTCATTTATCAAGGAGTTATAATAGAAGTTTCTTACCTTATCAATTGCATCTCTTAACTAAACGAATTTTTTGAAAGAAGCTTAGAGTATGTTAAAACTTGTTGAAAATTTAAATAAATAAATATCAAATCTAGAAATTGCATAACTTTAAAAGAACAATTTAATTGAAAGCTTTAAGAGCTTATTGCATAACCTTTATTGTTATTACGAAAACTAGAATGAAGAACTTCAAAAAGATTATAATGAATTCATTTTAAGCCTTAAGACAATTCTAATTTTCTAGTATGAAATTGAGCCTTTTTCTTAAATTGAAGAATTTGGAAAAATAAAATAAAAATTGTCTAATCTGCTACCAATGTAACTTATATATAAATAAAGATGGAACAATTTAAAGCTAAAGTTACAGATAATTGTTTACAAAGAGTCTTTCTAAAAAATATTAACAACCCAATCAGAAGAATTTTAATAATTAAATGAAGTTATCAATTTGGATAAGTACCTCCTTAATGTAATTATCAATTATCCCCAAAAATTAATCGCATGTCATAACTATTATTAAAAATAAATATTACCTGAATTAATAACTATGAAAGTCACCGAGGAAGACTTGTAAAATAATCTTTGTAAGTATCAAGGAACAATAGAATACTTAATATTTATATTAGGTATAGATGAATAAATTATTAAATCAGAAAAAACAGATTTAGATTTGATTCAGAAGGAATTTGAAGAATTATTTATAGAAAAATCTAGTTCAATTTCAGTAATAGAGAGAATAATGAAGATTATTGAAGTTATATCAATTGATGAATCAATTAAAAATGTGTCTGATGAAAAGTTCAATCAATCAAAATTGATTATAGAGAGAGAGAAATATGAGAATGTTTTATAATAATTAAGGAATGCGGAGAAAAATAACAATTTTTAAAATATAGAACATTTTCAATAATTTATAAATCAAATTGATAAAGTTGTTAAAGTATTGAAGATTTTCTAGAATTAAAATTTATAAATTGCTTAAATCCTTATCTTAGAATTGTTGAAAATTTTACTAAAATAACAAGAAGAATTAAAAAGAATTATTTATGATAAAAGTGATGACGAAGAAAAAAGAAATGATCAATCTCGTTATTTGGATAATTAATAATATGGAAGTGATGATTTTGTTGTTCAGGATTAAAAGAGTATCCAAAAAAAATTTATTTATTTTTTTGATGAAAAATGTAAAACAAATTTATCAATCATTATAAATGTTGTAAAAATATAAAAGAAAAAAATTAAAAAATAGAAGCAATAATTGACATATTTTTTTGAAGAAGTGAAATAGTTTAGAAATAACCTTGTAGTAATTCAGGATTATAACAAAGAAATTTAAACAAAAATATACAACATTTTTCTTAATTGTTTCCAAGAACATATTAATAAATTTGAATAATCACTTTGGACGACAGCTAACTTATAATAAATGCAAAATGAATCGTTTAAAGAGTATTTTGATAGAATATAAATCAGTATATTATAAATTCAAAGTTAAAAAAATGATATCAATAGAACAGAACAAACAAATATTTGTGATTTTCTCAATAATTTTATGACAGAGATACAAAAAAAATAAAAAGAGTCTAAGCGTTTACCCTCAGAAAATTAAATTGATTAAGATACTCTTATTTAATAAATTAAAACAATATATCTATAAGGAAAAGAGGAAGAAGAAGAGGATAAAGATGAAGCAGAATCAAATCAACAATTTGGATTATTTGAAGCGTTGAATCAAAAGTTTAAAGATTTTTACAATAATGATGAATGGAAAATTAAATAGGGTTTAATTTTTACAATCATTTATATTTCATCAAATAGCTTCACAGATAAAATTATTTTATTTTGCTAGAAAGCTCTAATATAATTATGGGTTTTAGAAAAAGATTAACGAGTTAGAAATATATTAAAAAATT